CTGCGAAAAGCGCTTTCTCTAACACAGATTTCAAAATTGAATTCCATCTGGTCTCACCGAACGGTGTACCACGGTGTTCTCCAGTACATAACGAAAGGCTCCCCGCAAGCAGCTAGCTATCAACGCTGCCCTCAACCGCTGATCGGATTCAGTTGCTCGTCGTGAGTCGCAGTGAGCCATCTATGCCAAGCGCGTCACCCTCGTTTCAAACAACAAACAACCCGCCAGCCTCATCCGTGTTGAACACCCTAATAGCTCAGCATTACTCAACCATCACGACAAGAGGGTTCTTTTCAGAACCACCATAAATTATTGTTGTTTAAGAGTTAATTTTCTTTGAACGTTCGCTCTCCGTGCTACCAGCCACATCACCCCCAAAGCTCTTTGATAATGGACCCATTATCTATTGAATAAACCAAAAAGTCCGTGCGTTTTGTGCACGAAAATGCGTAATTTTGTCATCAGAAAACGAGGCGTTTCCGTGATGGGAAAAAGTGGTTTCCGTAACACAGTCGCCGAAAATTGATACCGAGCACGTAATCCTACATCAAATCTACGGTCGTGCCTTGGATACAACCTCTTACTTTATTTTTTTTTTAATTAAGCACACCTTAATACCAATTTATTAATGCTTTTAGTACCTACATAGGGCCTCCCTTAGCTCAATCGGCAAAGGCGCAGCTACAAAGCAAGACCAATGCTGGTTCAATTCCCGGTCCGGTCTAGGAATTTTTCGGATTGGAAAATTTCACGACTTCCCTGGGCATTGAAGATGATTGTACTTGCCACACAATTATACTAATGCAAAAAAGGGTACAGACATCGAAAGATCTCAATTATTGCTGATTGCATCTGAAACTGGACTGTCCCAAAAATGCAAAAAGTGCAATAAAAGTGCACCTTTGCGTCAAATTGTTGTGGTGTCTTCGGAGCACTTATTGCTTGCATCATTATAATAAGTGTACCGAAGACACCAAGACGATTAGACGGAAGCTCGCACTTTAATCACACTTTTTAATAAGTGAAAACGCGCTTATTAGTCCAGTTTGGTGTGAAATGCGCAATAATAACTCCGGAGAACTTTGAGATTAGGGCGTAATTGCTTTTGTAAACAAACACGTCAATCGCCAATTTCTCGCCAATTAAAGCTCAATCTAAAAAATTAACGGCACAAACAGGTAGAGAAATGATTCCTTTATCATTTAGTATGGTTTGTTCGCGATAATAAGTTTCAATTTACGATTCAGTGGCGTCGCGTCCACATGTGCAACCTGTGCACGACACAGGTATAAACAATTGAAAAAATGCGTTAAGATTTTTATATATTTTATGGTCACATTATAGCTGTACTTCTTTACTCCAGACCACAAGTGACCATGAATACACTATTTTATAGTGTGGTTCAATTAAATCTTCGACCTTGGTTTGCTTCAAAAAGGGTTAAATTCAGTTGGGATGGTCTGCCTAATCCCTAATACATTGATTTCTAAGCATGTCGATATCACTACCATGACAAAACTCGTTAAATAGTGCACCTAAAAGCGAGCTCTTTTGGGTGGCGGGTGGCAAGTTTGTGAATGGCCAAATGTCTGATACACGGCAGTTTGCACCACTGGTTGTAATTAAAGCTTTCAGCAGTCACGCGTCAAACGGAAGCAACACGGAAACAGCAGCCTGGTACGCTTTGGACGTTATCATACTTGCAGACCGGTTTGAATGTGTGAGTTTAAATTAGAAGAACATTTCAAGACCAACAATTGAAATGGCCTTAACTCCATTCTGTAAACAAACCTTGTAAGGCCATTTTCTCGCGAACTCGGTTTGTTTACAAAATGGAGTTAAGGCCATTTCAATTGTTGGTCTTGATTTGTGATGTATGGGTGCCCAAAGTGTGAATTTCTCGCTGTGCACTTGGATATCTGATTACAGACAAAGAGAGTAATGGAGGAAGAGAGCGCAAAAGCCCGCTCTCACTCTCTTGTCAGTTGTGAATCTCTCAATTACCGATAGTTGCGCCGGTGCGCCTGTGAGCTTCCCCTGGTTCATTTTGATAGTGTTGTTCTGATGAGTAAAGAGTTGATTAATTCAAGTTTGCTACCCAGGGGACTATGAATTTTCTCTAGATTTTGGCATTGTTTTGCATCAAAAAAATGTTTTCGGAAGTGTTTGACGGATATTCTTTATTACACTTCAGTCGAAAGAGTTAGCCTTTTGATAAAAACGAGAATTCAAGCTGAACATTGCATTAGGTCCTAAGTAACATTGACAGATTCTCTCCGTCGACTTTCTCTTTGTATCTCCACGGCCATCTAAAACGACAAACACAACAAGAAATGGTTATGTGCTCAAGTTATTAACAAAATAGAAAGTCGACGAAGAGAATCGATCAATATTACTTAGAACCTAATGCAATGTTCAGGTGGAATTAGTTAAGTTTTGCAATTCATCGTACTTCGGTTAACGAAAGAAAAGGGCCATACAAGTTTTGTTTATACAAGATGATAGGTTCTTCAAATGTTACGTTAGGTAGTGATTCATATAGTGATGGAGAATATGTCCCTTGAATTAATGGAGCATTGAAAAATAAAACAAAAACTAACATGTGGTGGTAAACTATAACGAACAAAGCTTGGTGCACAGGTAAACAAATGAGGTACGCGACGCCTCTGTTAAGATTAATCGGCGATAGACGTGTTTGTTTACAAAAGCAATTACGTCCAAATCTCAAAGTTCTCCGGAACTGTGAAACTGCATCTACACTCAAAAAAATCCACACGTTCCATTCATGTGTTTTCAAATATGAATTTTGCCATTTGCCAGTCACCATGATATCATGTGAATTACATTCGCATTTCATGGCACCAATGTCCAAAAATCACAAGTCCTAGCTGTCGGTGAAATCAAAACAAACTACACCATAATTTCATGTGTTTACTTATTGAAATGTATGGGACCTCCGTATATGCTAATGTTTTCTACTATCAAATTAACGTGTATGGCACATGGATCTCATCAGTAGCAGGACGAGTGTCAAAAGAAATATTAAACAGAGTAACAATCAATGCCAATGTATGTTGCTGCTACAGTACACTTACGAGAGATTCCAGGTACCCCACAATATTAATTTACGCTTTAATTTACGGACAATAATCTCGACAATAATTACTTTTCCCAGCAATGAGACAGTAGTAGTTGGTCAGTTCTATCTGACAGAAAAAAATATTTAAGATTTCATTAGACATCATCTTTAAAACAGAAAACTGATTAGAAATGGTAAGTAAATCATAATGACTGAAAATAACATCAAAAGCTGAGAAACTGTACATCTCCATAACTGACTTTTACAGTATTCTTGGGTTCCTGGATCCTGGTGTAGTGACGCAATTGGAGACAGCTGCCGAGAGGGACGACTCTATCTACGATGCAGGAAATATTGTGTTTTGCTGTGGCTAGCTGCGCGTACGCTGAGTAGATAGAAAGAAGATTTATCACGATTTTGAAGATTTCCTGCAAAAAGATGATGCGCAATGCAAGTAGGGGAATTTACGTATTCTCGTCAATCTAAGCAGCGTCTGCACTTCTACTAGCATTTTCTCAGCGTCACGCACATATATGATCTGTCTGTTTGTTAACATTCATCTGCTGCTTGCTTTTCTATCCATTCCAATCGACAGAATTTTTCAAAACGTTTTGAAAGCGTTTTACAACGCTCCAAACTTCTCAGGTGAGTGTGACTATTGTCGGCAGCCTCTTTTTCTTCGGCAACCTTCCCATTAGAACTGCGTGTTAACCAGCTGTTCTATTATCGGCAACTCGAAATCAACCCCATTTTGTAGTGCGTATGCTTTATTTGAAGAAAAATGTAGCATTACTGGATTGCTCGATCGTTCAAATATAATCAGATTGAAGCTGAAAGGCTAAACAATCGTTTGGACACATTCAGGGAAGTGCGTTGATGGGAAAACATAGTGAAATTAACGTTTAAATTTTGGTTGCCGAAAACAGTCAATGGGTGCCAAAGCCAACATTTACCCTAGATGCGATAAATGAAAGATGATTTTTTGAAGTTTTATTCGCTAGTGTGAGATTTTTTGAGCACCTAGAATTGAGGTTTAGATGTGTCGTCCCCCTCGACAGCTGCAGTGTTTTTTTTATCTATTGTGAATTAATATTGAAAACTATTGTCATTAAATAAAATGAAATATTGCTGGGATGAGTTTTGATTCATTATCAAATGTAAGATACACGAACCAGATATGTTCGATAATATACTTGTGAATGAAGGAAACTTGATGATTAAGTGTCAAACTTTCGATGACAAAATGTAAGACACATGAAATCCAAGTGTATCACAATTGAACTTATAGTGTTCGAGAATAATATCTATTATATGATTCACACATGAAATGCATGTTTTTCACAATTTGCGCAAATTGAAGTGTGGAACACATAAAGGTAACGTGTGGATTTTTTTAAGTGTAGAACACTAAGTTGAGAGCACGCAATAAGCTAATATGCGATAAGCAACAAGCTTGAAATGCGAAGAAGAAGAAGAATAATAAGAAGACCTACACATCTATTCAATGGATTTGCATAATATCTACTGAACTTCAGCTTGAACTTTTCAATTTTTAAGAACTTTCGTGAGTTTCTGACCAAACTACTTCAGCAACGTTGTACCAATCGTACACTTTTCTCTATTTTCCTTAAACAGCAGCGCAAAACATTATCAGTAGACTTGATATGCAGCCAATTTTTTAAATGAGCATGACCCAAAATATAGTAGTCATTTACACCACTGCTATGCTAATTTGAAATATTCAAGTTTCAAAATTATGTTGGTATACGCTATCAATAGAATTCATCGCTTTCCAATCATGATTTCGGCATTAATCTATCGTCAGTCACGGAAGTACAAGACAATCTAACGTAGTCTACGAATTGGCAAAAAAATTGACATAGCATAATCGATAGCACCCAGGATGGCTCTTGTTACTCACCTTCATGTATAGTTTTCGCAGACTGCTCACGGCTCGGTGGTATCCGATGGGCAAATACTCACAAAGCGGATACCTCCGCGGGTGTATCTGTCGAGGTGGAACAGTAAATAGTTTAGCAGTCGTCTCCGCTTATTGCCACTTCTAGCGTCCGACAACGCCAAAATGATGACGATGAGGTCAACTTTACGACGACTGTAACTGGGAGACGTCGTTGACCGGAAAACGGTTTTACGCTGTGCTGCTTGTTAATTCACTTCCGAGGCGGTTTAACTTCAGGAACTACTTTTCCGTTTCTCTTCCGTTTGTCACACGTTGCTTTTAAAGGGAGAATAAGGCACTTTTGTTTAATCACTTTATTTTCTGCTGCTTTTTTTCGGGTAGTTATCACATTAATTGCATTATATTTGATTGCTGCCTGCACTTTTGCACGGGGGACACAACTTGTTTTATGATTGCCACTTCCTCAATTGCTGCACCTTTTGCTCTCTTCTAATTTGCCGTACTTGGATTCAACTGACTCGACTAGTAGTTGCCACCATCCACCACTGGGCTTCAGCTGCTGGGCACAAAAAAAGAAAACCTTGTCGTCGCACGCACTAGAAAATGACTTAATTCGTTTGCTTTCTTCGCACTGAACACTGTTTTCACAGAAAGGCACTGAATTAGTGGCACAAATCTCCAGCAGCTCCAATTTGTCGAAAGCACTTTATAATAGTCGGAGCAGAACAACAACTTTCAACAACACCAACACGAGTAGCACTCTCTTGCTTACGTTTAACGTTTCACACCTCGTGTCGTCTTTTTTTTTTTTTGCTGCTGTCATAAAAGCAAAGATGATGTTGATGATGACGACGCTGGTGTGGTTTGTTGATATATACCAAGATGAAAGGCACACCCGGTGGATTAAAACGATGACGTTGCTGCCTTGTCGCTCATAGACCTGAAATTAAGCAAATAAAACACTCATCAGCACTTGTTTTAACACCGTTATGAAGTGAAAATTATGTGACACCATTATGGGTTTGGGCAATTAAATAGATTGCGGGCGATTGAGATCTCTGGAAAATGTAAGGTACGTGCAGTAATGATGGAGTTATTGCTTCAAATTGATGTAAAGTAATACAGGGGTGCCCATTTCAAGATCAAAAAATAGGAAAGTGCTGAACAAAATATGAACATTTTTCGAAACTTAGTTGCGGCGGTTCTGAAAGAAACAGTTTTTTTGCTCTAAAGTTTTAATTTTGATTTTATTTTGAGAACTATTTTCAAAGGACTCAAGGTGAAGACGCATATTTTGAAGCTTGTTGAGAATGTGTAAATTTTGGTGATGTAAAACTAGGCAATACCAGCGCCGGCCACGTCCGAATTCTGGTCAACAAAGGAATAGGTAGGAATATGTTTACGTAATACTCGCTTTAATGAAAGCCGAGAACACCACTGCACTTCAACGAGAAATCACTGGGATGTTGGATAAAAGAGTTGGGATTGCAGCAGGATTCGTTTTGGTAAACGATATGCAGAATTGATGTCCTAACGCGAAGGAGCTTGGGTTTGAACCCACGGTCTTCTGCTCAGTAAGCAAAATCGATCATCACTAGGCCACAGAGCTCTAAGATGGAAGTATGTATAGGTGGTCAATAGACTGATGCAAAATTTGGCTTTTTCGCTCCACAGTGCGTAAATGGTTTCAAATCGGGTTCTGATTAGTCCCTCAAAGTTACAACTCATTTGGTTAGAAACAGACTTCGCACAAGACATTTGAAGTTTACATGTAAATTACTATGGGAAATCTCAACTTTTTGTTCATTGCCTTCTAGTCTTTTTCCATATTGAGCTGCGAAACAGTTCGATAGCCATTCTTATAGAAAATTTTCTCAGCTACAACTTTGCCCAAGATCGTTTCTATGTAAAACGAGACAGGAAAAAGTTATTAATTATTCAAGAGATTGATAAACTTATGACATGATCAAGCAGCTGCTCTGTAGGCAACACTGTATTTTGCAGTGTGACATAGTAGCCATGATTTTTGTGTCCTATTCAACGCCCCAGAAACACCAATGTTGCCTGCTGAGCAGTTGATTGAGCATGATCATAAGACATCAGCGCATTGAACCATTGATAACTTTCGATCCTTGCATTTAATCAAAAAGTGATCTTGAGCAAAGTTGTAGCTGGAAAAATTTCCTACAAGTACAGTTGTTTGCTTTTGAAGCAGACCGATATGGTGAATTATTAGATAGACATGAACAAAAATTTTGGTTTTACCATAGTAATTCCCATACAAACTAAAAAATGGTTTGTGCCATCTCAGTTTCTCACCAAATGGGTTCAAATTTTGAGAGGTGAGTCAGGATCCGATTTGGAATCGTTTAAGTATTGTGGAGCGAAAATTTCAAATTTTGCATCACTCTAGTGGTCAAGTACTCACGGTCCGCTAGTGTTGGTGAGTTGTTTGAAGTTAATGCTCATGAAAAGTTCACTATTTTGCCATAAACAATACCAAAAAAAAAGATTCCGGGCGGACTCGGAACTGTTTCATACGACCGGAAGGTGTTTGCTGATTACAAATACCTTGCCAAATTGATTTCCTACACAATACCGATACTTGGAAAATAAAGAGACAGAGATTATTTGCTTTACCTATTCAACTATGTAAGCATAAGCACAGGGAAAAAAGTATTTATAATATAAATAAATAATACAGACACCCACAAAAATCGAAAATTACAGAAAATCAGTTGCCTAAGTATGCGGACCCCCCGCATCGTATTCTTCTTACGAGATCATCCGACCCCACATCCTTTTCTATATCCGGATTATCCTTCCTTTCTACATTGTCCTGCAAAATTAATCTTGTCTTCATCCGTCTGAAGTAGCACTTTTATGTGATAAAATGCTGCATTCCGAGATTAGTTCCCTATCTACAGTATATTTTGTTTAGGGTGAATACTTCCATCTTAGCCACTTGACTCCATCCCAACGCACTCTGTCATGGTAAATAGTATTCCCAAATACCAGAACCGAATACACAACAGGACACACAACCATAACAGAAACATTAAGAAAATTATCGGGATTATGAGTAGAATTCAACGAAATTCTAATGCAACTTTGAAGGAACTCTGAAAAGCTTGCTGATCACATACGGCAGAAAATCTCTGAAAAGTTATTCAATCACTCTGATCGCGCACCGGCAGAACTTTCCTACGGTGTGTGATTAATAGATGGTGAAAATAAAACACGGTCGTTTATCGAGTAATCCTGCCATGGCAGTGGCATGCGAACTATTGAATTTATTTACAATCTTACAATAGAACAGTGGGCATGATTACACTACGCTAGCGGCACTTGTGTGTTGATATGAGTATTTGGGTAGGGTAGTTGCACACGTTTTGTACAAACACACTCAATCAATCAGAAAATTCTAAGGAGAGCTCCAATTGAATAACGATAGTAATTCCAAAAGCATATAAATAATCTTTGCTGAATTTCAAGCTAGTTTGAAATTTAAATTGTTTACTGGCTGTCAGCACTTGAATTTTAATTTGTCAAGATATCAAAGGTTCTGTTAATTTCTGGATGTGGCACTATCGCCCAGAGGGTGTCCGGCCATCAGGCCGAATGCTCATTAGCCTAGGCTTGAATAAATTTTAACGAGCTTCCTTACACAATAGTTACGTTTTTAAAGATTTTAAACACTTCGATATTTGTTCTGACAATTTGGACGTTACAGAATCTTAAAAATTTGTCCATATCCGGAATATTAAAAAAAAAACTACCAAAGTATTGAAGATTTTCTTATAAAATTTTCTAAACATTAAATGTCATAATTTATGAATTTATTATTTTTTTCCCAAATCCTGGATCATCATTAATTTCTATTTGTCTAATATCTAGAAAAAATTCTATGTTGGAATCATCCTGATACCCTCGGAAATCTTTACTGGATTTCTTCAGTATTTTCTGAAGGATTTGCTTGCTCTCAGAATACCATTAGAGTTCATCTTAGACCGAGACGGCTAATACATAGGTGTAACAGTCGGAAGAAGTGTTAGTTTGTTTACTTAAATGAACCATGCCCATTTTGTTATGGCATGTTTGCTATAAGAAATGCGCCTCGTGTTTTTTAGCGAATTTCACATCAAAGATCGATTAATTGAGTAGGAAATCAGTTTGGCACGGCATTTGTGACCAGCATACACCTTCCGGTAGTATGAAACAGGTCAAAAACTGTTCAAAGCCGCAGATAAAAATTTTGTTTTGAATTTCTGTATAGCAAAATAGTGAACTTTTCGTGAACATTAACGGCAAAGAACTCACCAACACTGGGAGACTGTGAGTTCCTGCCCACCTGTCATTTTCCATCGTGATCTTAGACCTCTTTCTGATATTTTTGTATAATTTGCTTCATAATACTCTTGAAAATCATCTGCAGAACACTCCTTGAATAATTCAATTATTCAATCTGCGATGCTCTTCAAATTATTAATAATTTATGCAGTATTTCCTAGGAATTCCCAGAAGATTTCTCCGGAAAATTCATTTTGAGTTCCCATCAGCATTCACTTTGTATTATCCAGAAATTCCTATGGACCTTTTCTATGTATTCCTTTTAAGTTTTGCTCAGGACTCCTATACATTCTTTGAAATATACCTTTTACGTTGTTTTTCCTTTTAATTCTACTACTATTGTATCACTTTCCCTTTCACTAATTCACTTTCACTATTTACCACTATTAGTGAAAGTAAATAGTGAAAGTGAATTAGTGAAAGTAAAAGTAATACAATAGTACAGTCGAAGTTCGCTCGTTGGGCTATCTTTATGTGAGCTACGTTTTAGTTGGGCTCCCGTTCGAATCGAAGTCAAACGTCATTTTTGACATTGCAGATTCATTTTCGAGGGGCTCATGGATGAACAATTTGAACAGTTGCTAAGCGATTTTGATAATAATAGACAATCGATGTATCCGCAAGCAATTTTCAGCTTTGACAGCTCAGCCCACCTAACGAAAGCCTTTCACCAAGTGGGCTATGGGCACGATGGAAAATGAACAGGTGGGCAGGAACTCACAGTCTCCCAGTGTTGGTGAGTTCTTTGCCGTTAATGTTCACGAAAAGTTCACTATTTTACTATACAGAAATTCAAAACAAAAATTTTATCTGCGGATTTGAACAGTTTTTGACCTGTTTCATACTACCGGAAGGTGTATGCTGGTCACAAATGCCGTGCCAAACTGATTTCCTACTCAATTAATCAATCTTTGATGTGAAATTCGCTAATAAACACGAGGCGCATTTCTTATAGCAAACATGCCATAAGAAAATGGGCATGGTTCATTTAAGTAAACAAACTAACACTTCTTCCGACTGTTACACCTATGTATTAGCCGTCTCGGGCTATGGGTTTAGCCCAACGAGCGAAAGTTGGTTGAAGTAGAATTAAAAAGGAAAAGCAACGTAAAAGGTATACAATTATTCTACTAAAACCCACATCAATCAATTTAGATTTTTTGAAATGCTCCTCACAATTCCCTTGGAACTCTCCTTTGAATTCCTTGAAATTTCTTTGAAATCATCCTCGGAATTTAATTTCCACGGAATTTTTCTTGGAATTACCTTGAAATGCTCCTCAGTAAGAGATTCTTTGGAATTATTCTCACAATTTTTAATTAATTCATTTCCGAATGCCTTTTTGAATTTTACACCCTCCGTTGGCGATTTCAGTCCAATATGGAATAGCTTTATTTAGCCTTCTATTATTTGCTGGCTATTCTCTTTTACAAAACCAGCAAATTTTCTTCGCAAGTGTTAAGTAATAATTTCCCGGAATTCGGCCTGGCAACCGTTCGACCAAATGACCATTCGGCATACTGACCATCGACCTGGCCTAATAAAGGGCGAACACGAAATTATCGCGACACCGAAAATGTCATGCCAATT